CATTCGCAAGGAGCTCCTCACCCAGGAGGTCAAGCTTGCGACCAAGGCGGCCGCGGCCAGCCGGGCGTCCAAGGCGGGGAGCGGCGATCCTCCTCCCCATTCGAGTGGCTCGTCGGGGAAGTGGGGCAAGAGGCGCAATCCCCCTCAAGCGGTGCGTCCACCTCCGGACGCCTGACCGACTTCCCGTATAATCGCACCCGCGGACGCCTCTTGGCATGGCGGAGGATTGGAGCACCATCGCACATGCTGCAATGGATCCATTCCGGCGTCCCCCTGCAATGGGGACCCCAGGGGCCTCCCCCGCCCTTCGACCAGGGGGAATACCCGATCCGTTCGGCGGAGGAGCGAGCGGGCTGGACGGCGCTCCGCGAAGAGTATTTGGCGTCGGGAGCCATTGTCAAGGTAGCCCCCGGTCCCGCCTCGCGCATTTCGCGCGCTTTCTTGGTGGAGAAGGGGCGAGAGAACGGGGTTATGAAGTACCGTTTGTGTGTCGATCTCCGCCGAGTCAATCGGCACCTCCGCAAGATGGGTTTGCGGTATGAGAAGCTGCGGGATTTCGGGCATTTGTTGAGACGGGACGATTTTTTAGTCGGATTTGATATTAAGGATGCCTACCATCACTTGAGGATGCGTTTGGCTGACGAATGTTTTTTGCAATTTCGAATGGGCGGGGAGGTCTTTGCTTGCCGCGCCCTCCCCTTTGGGCTCTCTTTATCGCCTTACTTTTTCACCCATTTTATGTTGGTCATAACCCGTTTCCTTCGATCTCCGGGTTCGTGTGCCAAAGCGGCGCGCAAGTTCCGTTTTGGCAGTCTCGCGGGGAATGATTCGATCTTCCGCTACTATGTGCGTTACACGATCGATGACCCCGCCATTATACTGGCTTATCTGGACGACTTTTTGGCGGCCATGAGTGACCCCCAACCATTGCGGGAATGGTCCCAATTAGTTAGGGAAATTTTCGGGGCCTTGGGGATTCACTTCAAAGACCGCAAGTGCCAGTGGGAACCCGTCCGGGTCAAGCGGCACCTTGGGGTGGTGGTGGACACCACCGCGTGTCGTTTTTTCGTTCCACGGGACAAGGTGGCACTCATTGCCGAAAAAGCTCGGGTTCTTAGGGCCCGGCGCTGGGTGGTGGCTCGCGACCTGGCCCGTTTCTGTGGGATAGCCATTTCCGTTTATTTGGCCTTTCCCCTTGCTCGTTTCTTCCTTCAGAGCCTTTATGCGGTGCTCCGGACCAAGCGCTCTTGGCGGGATCGCCTGCAGCTCACCCCGCAAGCGTGCCTCGATCTGGAGGCGTGGAGCAATCTGCACCGTTGTGATGGCCGCCCCCTCAATCCGGATGCCGTGCCGTTTGCGGGCACCTTGGCTACGGACGCTTCCTTGACGGGCTGGGGCGCGACTTTCACCGCACCGCATGACGATCAGCCTCGGCTGGCACGAGGCTTCTTTGATCGATCGTTGACGCACATCAATGTGCGTGAAATGCAGGCGGTGGCTCTGGCCATTCGGTCCTTTTTTCCGCCCGCTTCCCCCTCGATCTCGGCGCGGGTCCGCCTGCTCGTGGATTCGCAGGTGGTCCTGTTTTGTATCCGCAGCATGACGACGGGATCCGACCAGCTGCGCGGACCTCTCCGCCAACTGCAGAAGATCTGTTCGGCTCGACGTTTGCTCCTCGACCCGGAGTATATCCCGTCCAAGGCGAATACCATCCCGGACCAACTGTCCCGAGTTCGGGGGGGCGAGGATGACCGCCTCCATCCGGCCATCTTCCGGGCCATTACGAGGCGGTTTGGGGAGCGGACCATCGACCGGTTCGCTTCCCATCATAATTCCCTCTGTCCCGCCTTCAATTCGAGGCACCACGAGCCCCATTCTTCGGGGGTGGACGCCTTCCTCCAGGACTGGACGGGCGAGGCCAACTGGGCCAATCCACCGTGGTCTCTCCTCCCACGGCTCACGGCCTTCCTGCGGCACCATCCAGCGGTGGAAGCGGTGGTCTTGGCGCCGGACTGGCCGTCGGCCATGTGGTTCCCGCGCCTACGACGTCTGGCTTTGGCGGAGCTGCGGATTCCCCGCCGACCGGGCATGTTCACGCCGGGCGATCCATCGATCCCGGCCCGTCTGCCTCCCCCCCGGTGGAACCTCCGAGCTTTTCACATCCGGCCGCGGACCCGGGCTCGGATTCCGACGCGGGACCACCCTCTTCCCGCTCGGACTCGCCGGTCGCGGACCCCCTCCCGGTCGAGGTAATGCCGCCCGATCACCCGTTGTTTGGCTGTGATGGGGACGGCCTGTCCGCGTCCGATCGGTCGTGGATGCAGGGACAGTTTCTCTCCTTTTATACCGAGTCTACGTGGCGATCAATGCATCAGAAGTTCGACCGCTTTGCTGCCTTCTGCGCGGCGCACGACCTGGCCAGCCTGCCCGCGCGCCCTTCCTCCATTTACCGGTACATCCGTTTTCTGCGGGAGGAAGGCCGGGTGGGGGTCCGCAGTCTCCCCCAGTATTTGGCGGCCATTTCGATGGTCCATCAGGCCATGGGCCACCTGGACTTTTCCGCCTTCGATCCCGTCACCCGGCGCCTTACTCGGGCGTGGAGACGGCAGGAACCGGAGCCGGCCCATTCGCACCGGCCGGTTCCCACGGCTCTGCTGCGATCGATCCTGGAGTTCGGGCGGGAGACCGACGACCTGCGCCTCCTTCGCGCGGCCTGCTCGGCTACCTTAGACTTCCTGTTTTTCAATCGGGCCCAGAGCGGCCATTTGATCCTCCTCGACGATATCCGCCTGGAGAATGGCCTGCTGGTGTTTCGCGAGCGCCGGACCAAGCTCTCAGCGTCGACGGACCCCAGCGTGCGGTGCCGGTCCTGGCCCTCGGCGGGCGCCCCTGCGGTGCTTGATCTTTTCCTCCGATGGTCGGCAGCCCGGGACAAGGCGTGCCACGCCGTGCCCACTGGGCAGAGGCGGGGGGCGCCTCCCAGCACTTCTACACGCTCCCGGGGGAGCAGAACCCCTCCGCGCGGACGGTTTCGGGCTGGTTTCCTCTGCTGCAGCAGGCCCTTCCGTCGCCGCCCCCCGAGCCCTTCGATCACCACGGACTGCGCGGGGGGGGCGCCAGCGCCTGCTACGCCTTGGAGGTGCCGGAGGGTCGCATCCGCGCCTGGGGCGAGTGGCGCAGTAACGTTATGTGGAAGTACATCGACGTGTATCGGCTGCCGTCCGAGTGGGACTTCCGTCTTTTTGGTTGGATGACGCTAACGGCCTGCGACTTACACGCCCAGTACGGGCACATCTTCTGCCCGGGCGGTGCGTCATCGGCCCGAGGGTGACCAAGGCATGACCACGCCTTCGCTCCGGAGGAGCTGCACCGTGCCCCAGGGTGAGTGGGCACATTTTAAGTGGGTCGCCAATCGGGTCTTGTACTAGTGAGGTGATGGACACCAAACTGTGTGAGTGTAATGTATTGTCGTGTGGGGAACACGGGGGGGGTTGAAGGAGACCGGTAAGGCAGAAATGGAATTAACTATCCTGTTAATGGGTTTCTGCTAAGGACGCCGATTGGGTGGGCGCGCAACGGCCAGGGCGGGCCGTTCCGCCCTTTGGGACAGTTTGGGCCATCCATCAGCCGGTTTCTGTCACCCCTGTACTCGGGGTCAATGCTGCCCGACGCACCCAAGGGCGGTGGGGTTGATCCTTGTACCTTGGGCGCAGCCAAGGGGACCGGTCAAGCTGGCCCTTGGGTTTGGCGGGGAGTTTGGCGGCAAGTGGGAGCGGCTATTTTAGGCGCGACCCTTGGCTCCCCCCTTTATCTTGTTTCGCACCCGCCCGGCCCACCCGAATAGTGTGAGTTCGGTTAGCTGTGGGATGGAGAGGGCGTTGAGTACGAGGAAAGGGGAGCTGACTCTGGGTTGAGTCACTATCAGAGTGGCATTAAGTACTATGCGAAGCGAGGGCACATTTTAAGTGGGTCGCCAATCGGGTCTTGTACTAGTGAGGTGATGGACACCAAACTGTGTGAGTGTAATGTATTGTCGTGTGGGGAACACGGGGGGGGTTGAAGGAGACCGGTAAGGCAGAAATCAAATTAACTATCTTGCCAATGGGTTTCTACCAAGGGGGACGATGGGAGGGCTGCGCCGGTGATTCAAACGGTGCAGTTTTGAGCCCGGGGTTTATTCAACCCCCGTCCCTTGGGACTTTCGGCCACCCTAGTATAGGGGGTCGGTCAAAGTACGAAAATGCAAGGCGCCGCCAACCTTGGCGCCCTCGGGTTTGGCGGTTCGGGCTTTGGCGGGGCTGAGTGGGGGGCGGCTATTTAGGTCCCCTTCTTTATCTGTTTCGCACCCAGCCCTCCCGCCCTGGAGAGTGGCGTTCGGTTTAGTGGTAGGACAGAGAGGCAGTGAGGGGAGTGAAGTACGGGATTAGGGAGCTGACTCATGGGGTGAGTCACTCACTGAGTGGCATTAAGTACTGGCAAAGCGAAGGGCAAACTTGACGAATGGGGACCTTGGGAACAGTACATTGGATCGGTGGTGAATTGTAAGTGTTTGCCATAGGGAGTACATGACCGGGTGGGCTCAGGAGACCGGTCAGGCAGAAACGTGCTGGAACACCAAGCAGTGATTGCCGGGCCTTCTGCAACCGGCACCCTACCATGACATTAAAAATATCATAGCCAAAACCTACACTACAGGGAGTGGTCTACCGAATATTGACGAACAATACGTCAGATTGTTCTCTGTGGCGTGGAGTCCCAAGCATTTCGAAGGAATTGTGTCCCGGATCTTCCAATTCATAGCAGCTATAGCAAAAGCATTCTGGTCTGTACCGTCATCACAAACTGCGGGCGGACCGGCCTGAACAACGATGCACCCATATAAAAAATAAACAGAAGTCTGTAAAGGTGAGCCGAAATCGAGCACAGCGTGGCCAATTCCCAGGCACACATAGCCAGCTTGACTGTCAGTTCTGTGCTAAAGAGTGTGTCTTCATGGACGTTCAACTCTCCGGCACACAGGCACCTCCAGTCACAATTCCCTCTAGTCCACGCTTCCCAAAGAAGGGCCCCAGTATCTGCACAAAAGAACTCCAAACGTACCAGCACTGAGACATCCTGGGGGCGCAGGGAAATAACATCAGCCAAATCATGAATATTCCCTCCACGTTGCTCATTCCTAATGGCCCGTTACTCAAAAGTCTGCACACGCCCAGCGTCTTTGCATCAAAATGGTCCAAGATTACCCTGCACATCCACTCAATGTTCGCATCAATTGTCGACAGCTCATACCAATGCATTTCAGCCATGCCCCTTGCCAGGGGCACCAGCATCCAAAAATGTACACTCCTGCTGGACAGCACAGTGCTTGCTTGCAGGCACATGCAGGCCACGCCGCTTTCCCAACCAATTGGCATTCACCCAACGAATGTCCCCACAAGTCCCTCCCAACAAAAAACACATCCTACGCTACTGTTACAGCCACCACTTCCAGGCAACGCAACCAATATCTGCACATCCGACGAATAAAAATACGCCCAAATCCAGTGGAACAATGCACGCTCATTTTTCGATGCCCACAATTGTCTGTGAGCGGTTCCATAAAGGGTCAGCTTTCGCCTTGGGATGTTGATGCCCCCGGAGTGTGATCAGCCAATGTGGGGCTCCCAAGGGAAGAGTCTGGTCCAGTTGTCAGTGGCAGTAACTGCATCTCGATGTCCCTACTTCTGTTCCCATCTCCACCAGGCGCCCCACACTGCAGTCCAAACTGAGCACAACAAAAAGGGCCGTCAACATCACTGGTGTTCACACCAAGCGAGAAACAGGTTGGCAGGGACCGTCTGGGTGCATGAAGAAGGGATTTGTGCTGGCAGCAACATGGGAATTGCAACGACTGGTAGCAGGCACTAGACTGAACACCAGCGGCAGGCCTGCTTTCCTGAAACTCGATTCTCATGTGGAGCAACCTCCTGAGGTAGACAACAGGAGATGGCAGTTGTCCATGCTGCATGTGCTCTCAATGTGAGAGGCGAAATTCTTCACTGGACGAATGATGCTAAGTACTCCCTCATCACACCCAAAATGCCCGCGGAATGCAATCCTACTCATGCCTAAATTGAGTTTGTGCATTGATGTGTCTTTGGGCATACTGGTCCCCCAGTTCTCTTACCCAGCGGGCACCACACTCAGGAACACTTAGGCGGCATGGGTGCGTTTATATTCTCAGATGAACGCAATCCAGGTATCAGGCAGGCTAATATCCAGCTGTGTCAACCCAGCAGATCCAAGAGTTGCCATTGTTGGGCGTCTTGATGATGGTTGAGCCTCATATCAAGGCTTGTTCTGTGTTTTGATCATGGACTTGAATGCCATCACTGGTGGAGCACACAGACTGTCATAGAGCCACAGATACCATGGCGTGCATGAACAGGACTACATGGCAACACTTAAGCTTTGCCTTTAATGGCACAGTAGCAACTGAGAAGAGTTGCAACATGCAGAAATGTCTGTTGGCTATCAGGTACGACATGTGCTGCATTGGTACCTGGCGATTTACGTGAGCATGTCCATGTGACGTACTAAACATCCTTTTCAGCAGCACTCCTTGCAGGGATAGATGTTAGTGAGTGCTGCCCTGCCATGGCCACAGGCCGATTCACGAACTGCAGTGACTTGGTGTGTCCTCAACAGCGGCCCAGTACATGCCAAATGAAGGGGTATTGGCATCCAATTGATGGACGGTGAAGTGGGAGATCATGCCCACAAGGGGATCTGTGAGCTGCAGCAATTTGAGCAGCAGCGCTATGCGGACTTCTGTTGTCGATCTCCCCAATGCCTTTGACTTTGCTATGCACATCGCTGCATAACTTTGGCACCTGGGACGAGCTGCAAGCTGTTCGCATGCCTGCCCAGTTTCTGATGCAACAAAGCTCACATCCTGAGCAAAATATTGCGCTGGTGTGCTGTTGTACTGGCAACTTGAGGGTGGAAATCAGTGCTTGGAGTGCAACAAGTCACAGTCTGAAAGTCATTGTGGCAATCCCACAGGAGAAATATGCAGGTCATACAGCAAGAAAGATCCATTCCACTGAGACAACATAGGAGAAGAAAGGAAAACATAGACGAGAAACATAGTGCCTGCCCCTCACTTGCATGTGACCCTCAGGGTCCTCCACCAAGATGGGCAGGGGGCCAGACTCCTTGACCACCCGCTGCTGCTGCTGCGGCACCACGGCAATCTGAGCCGCTCCCAGCTGGGCTGGTGCGCGGTGGACGCCTCGCAGCATCCTGACCTTTTGGCACAGGGCCACACCAATCCATCCCAGCACCACACTCATCACGATGTACAGCAGCATCACAAGTGAGTGCCGCTCCGTGGTAGGTGTGCGGTTTGCTGTCTCAAAGCTGAAGCAATACCTTCCAGCGTAAGTGAATCTCACAGCACCAATGTGGTCACTGCAACTTTCATTCTGGCACCAGGCGTTGCTCCTGATGAACAGATGCGGAGCTGCACAACGGTCCAGGAAAATCCAGCCTGGCTCAATTGGCAGCGGCAGGGACCGTCGCACCAGGCCACATTGCAGAACAAGCGGGAATTGCTGAGTCCTCGACCTGCAGCGCAACCTTGCCTGTTGCAGCCCCAATTGTGGCCATGCACAGTGCTGACATAGACGAGCGATTCAACGATACAATGTTATGACATGGTGAAACATGTTGTACAATGGGCATCGATTGATGAATCAATGAGAAAGATTGTGACATCAGCAACAGATGCATAGTTCTCTTTGGCAATGTCCATGTTCATATTGATTTGCAACCTTCAGTTGGCTCCAGAATTCTTTGTTGAGCAGGGGGTAGCTAATATAACACATTTTCCTTTCTGTTGAACAGATCATACTGTCCAGAATGTTCCACAAATGCGTATTTACAGTGCGGACATCACAACAAACATCAATGCGCGAACATCTTGGTGTGAATTTCACACCAACTGAACCAACGTCATCCTCCAGGATGTGCAACGTACATGAAATTCAACATATACAAAGTGCAACGAGGCAGAGTGCAAGGCAATCACAGCAATTCACAATTCTCATCAGCAGGGTCTGCAACCACTTGCTGCACTCACTCGCACTCGTGGGCAAGGCAGGTGCCAAAGTGATAGCATCCAGGATCGATTGCAAACGACCCAGATGTTTCACTTGCGTCTTCTGTTGAATTGCTGCATTCCATAAGCACGATCCTGTCTTTGGGAGACTGCGACAGCCGAGGGCAGTTCTTTCCACCCCAATTCTCCCTCTCCTCTTGGCTCAAGTCTGTGTCTAGGTGCTGGGCACACAAACACAGGTCCTGATTCTAGGATTCCTGCATCGGTAAGCAGAAATGTACGTGCAGCTGCTGGTGATTCTGCATCAGCCAGCCATGCAACACAATTCTACGTTCTTGTCAATGCAGGATGAGCTGTGAGAAGAATGATCGTGATGTGCCCCTGAATCATACCAGTTCTCAAGAGAACACTGGTGTGTGAATGTGGCTCTTCTTGTTTTTCTGGGTGCATTTTGTTCCTCTTTCAGCCCAGTGGTGGCAGGGTAAAGGATAGCCATCACCAGCCTGAATGTTTATTACTTGCCTGCTCAAATGCATGCCATTGTCGACGATCAAGGGTGCCTCCTGAAATATGGAATTGTGCATCACATACAGTGAAAACCACCAACTGAGGTGTGCCACACAAGGAAACCAGAATTCTGTCTGGCATTTTGTCCACCAGGCATTTCCTGAACTTTTGCCAGGCATCCGATTGCTCACTTTGTTTGGCCGGAATTCACAACTACAGCTTGGACAAAGGGCTTGCGAGAAGATGCTAGTCAGGCAGTCTAAGAAGTCGCCTGCATCATTGGTGCAAGCCGCGGACTGAGGACAACGTGCCAGCAGCAGCAGCTGTTAGTTCAGGCAGCCTAAGAAGCCGCCTGCATCATTGGTGCAATCCGTGGACTCAAAACAACGTGCCAATAGCAGCAGCTGCCCAAGTCGCCTAATCACCAACCACTGAAGTCAAAAAATGGCCGAATTGTATCAAGATGTCCATTTCAGCGTGCTCGGTAATCCCATTTCACGAGTGCAGAAATTGATTCCATGTGGTGGCGAAGCCCGCAGGCCTTTCACGCAAATGCAACAAGCTAGGCTCCTTGACGGCACGACGTGCCGGAGGTGGCCATCCACAGATTCCGAGGCGATCAACGCCAGCCATCGTCCCAAAACTCACGTCCGACGCCGGGGGCCCCATCCCCAACATCGTCGTCCGTCCGAAGGTGATGCGGCAGCGGCGACTCGGAGTGCCATACCCACCGAAACCTTCGCTCCGCGGGCGCGCCGCCTTCGTCGAGCATCCCCAAGCTGATCATGTCGGCGGAGAGGATGGCCAGCGCCAGCGAGAGCAGCAGCGGCGCCCTCGTGGGGGGCCGCAGCGCACGCCGGCGCCCGGCCGGCATCGCCCCTCCCATCTCACCCCGCCGGGGGCCGCTCGGCCGCGGCCGACGTCGCCGAACCTGCGTCAGCCAAAGGCGCCCGTGAGCCCCCGGCTGGCATCCTGACACGCCAACGCAGCATGGCGGAACGGCCATCCATTCCCCTACCGGCTGCCAAACGCAGGCAACAAAAAGTCCACAAGGCGTCGCAGGCTGCGCCCATTATTTTTCCCGCGTGCGGCCGGAAAGGGAGCGCAGCACTGTTCAACTTTTTTCTCGCGGGCGCGTCCGCGTGGCGCACCCTAGGATCGCGCTGCCCTCTGACGACCTCCTCGACCAGAGGCCGCTGGCGGAATCGGCCAAGCCAGGCGTCCCCTGGGGTCGCCGCCCCTCTCCAAACAACAGCCGCCCTCTCGAATGGGGAACACGCGCGCCGCGCTGCCGCTGCCCGTGGCGAGTGCCTCACGGGATCGTCGGCCTTGCTGTAGGCGAGGGCGGGACGCGTGCATTTGGCCAACGCACACGGCATGCCCCACGTAAACCGGGGTGGGGCATAAGGCCCGGAGGGTCCGTCAAATTGAGCGGCGCCTGCGGCCTTCCAAAAAGCCGGCGCGCCATGACGCACGCCCGGGGGTCCACACAAGCGGGCGGCCTGCAGAGGAAGGTCGATCGGATAGTGTGCGCGTACAAGGTGGCCAGGAACGAATTCGTCGACGGCGTGCAGGTCAGTCTGGGACGGCGCGGGGGCCCAAAGGCACCCAATTAGTCGCGCTGCCTTTTCCGTCAGGATCCCTTCTTGTTTCGGACACCCCGAACCCTACAGCACTGACCCACTGACTGGCGGTGGCCTTGTCAGCGGAAGAAGAAGGATCTTCAGGGAAAAGACAGAGGGACTAATAAATTCTCGGGTCCAGAGGCGCGGTGCGGGGCTCGAAGATGGGCACTGATCTGGGATGTGGGGAGATCCGCGGTCGCCGAATCCCGAATGCGAAATGCGTTTCCAAAGAAAAACGCAATTGTGTGGCATGGGCATCTCTCGTTTTTTTGACGACAGGCGGAGTGCTCAAAAGAAAGTACTGGAAGAACGCGTGGCAAATGCTGCCATCCGAGCCTGGGAATTTTCTCAGTTGAAATCAGTGTGAATACGCAAATTTCTCAAAATGGGACCCAACAACCACCCTTGCTTCCTTCATGATGGTGTCATGCAACTTCATGCGCACTGGCTCAAAGTTTAGGGATGACGATAGGGCGATTATGACATGCTTGACGTGAAATTGACGCTCAGACCCGCCTTACCACCAACTCCTATATCGGTAATACTGAATCATACTCCTTGTTAGATGGCGAAAGACTAAACACCGACCTTGAAACCCAGCGCCCCTGGTTCGCCACTGGAATCGTTGGCCATACTACGAGTTTCATGTGTGGATGCTGTCTGAAGTTTGCATGCTGATACTGGCATTATGCAACGCGTGACATTGCCTCATTGTGGTACCACGCTAGTAGAGGCAGGTATTGCATTAGGTAGGTTTCTCTTTGAGGATACCTTTGATTCACGCATGCTGCATGCAGTTGAAACTCTCGAGAGGTTGTTTTGCACACATCAGAAGTGGTTTTCAGTTTCTATTTGGCTTGTGTCAATTCCATGGTTATTGCTTTATCTCCCAGAGCCACGGGTACGGAGCCCTTAGGGTTACTTTGATGCCAAGCGCGATTTCCGTGTCCGTGGATGATACCACGAATGTGGCTGTCGTGGATCGTGTCGTCGCAACGACAAACTCATTGCACTTGCAGACTATGACGCAGAAGTTTGAACCAAATGTGTTGTTCGGAATTTCCAGAATAACACTGGATACGCAAAGTGATTCTTCAGCAATTTAGCACTCTTTATCATATAGTTAACATATCAAAGACGTAGCCGAAATTGCACATCACGTTAGCTAAGCGAACCGCAATTTGCCGGCAAAAAATGCAGCCTGCGCGAAGCGCTGCAGCGCCAAAGTTCTCATGCAATTAGCTCAACGGCAAAGGCGCCTGGCGGTTTCATCTTTTCCAGGCAATCTTGCGTTGGGGGGACTCCGGACGCGCTGGCCTGGACGCTCTCGAGAACAGGGGCACCCTGAGCCTCCTGTGCTGCCCGCCCATCCTGGACCCCGTGGCCAGCATCCGCCAAGGCGCGCTGGAGGCGCTGGCGCAGCTTGCGTCCGGCGACGCGTCGGTCGCGAGGGAGGTGTCGCGCAGCGGGGTGTTGGACACCGTCGTGCTCAGCTTGGGCCACGGGGCCCCGGGTGTGCGATCTGCCGCGTTCGGCGCGCTTGCCGCGCTAGTGGCCACGTCGGAGGAGTGCGCGGAATTGGTTGTGGAGGCAGGTGAGCCGCGGCATGGCGATGTCTCGGCGCGTGGAGCCCGGCAGCGCATGCTGGGCTGTGCGCACAACGGGTTTTTCAATGCGCATAGGTATCCCTGTTCCCTTCGCCATTTGGTGCTTATCATGTGAGGGCTTCGCCTTATAGCACTAGTAAGAAAAGGACCAAATGACACTTTTTGCGAACACATATATATGCATTTCATCAGTCTTCTGCATGCCGAAAACACGAAAATAAACCAACCCCGTGAATTTTCTAATTTGAGCACGTGCTATTTGGCCCTTTTTCCCAGTGTAAGTCGAGGTTCTCTTCAATGAGCGCATTTACATACAGACTTCGCCCCGGCGCTTGGACTCTGTGGGGCTTTGGGCGGAATGTGCGTGGTTTTTGGCGCGACACTGATGCATTCCTGGGTCTTCAAATGGATGCTCCGATTGTGGTGTTTCCATAATCGTCGTAGCGCGGAATGCGGGAAGCCACCTTTTGCCCCCTCTGATAAAGATGCTGCCCCGCAAGTGTCCATAACTTATTACAATTTAGAATGGAGCGCACAAGCACAAGGATCGATGCCGGCATTTGTCGCGAATGGCCTCCGTCTGATGCCAACGTGGGTCGTAAATGAATGTGTCATTACGGCACTCTCTGCAGCCTTGACTGTGGACAAGTATTGGTTCTGAACAAATGACATTTGGATCGTGTTCAGTTGCATGTGCAATGACATGTTCTTCAGGGGCAATGCAAGGTGTTCAGAAAGAGCTGGAGGCTGGAGACTCCACTGCCGCAACCTCCGCGGCGATCCTCACGAACGAGCTTCTGAATGCCAGCCAGGGTGTGGCTCTGCGGATCTTAGATGAGGCACTTATAAAGGATATTATGCAACTTCTAAGGACCTCCGGGCGCAGCCACGTGAACCTCCACACGGCCATATCGACCGCTCTTGGGAGCGCCATGGCTCATACAGCGGAGATATCACAAGTTCTGGTAATTGCATTGGTGGAAGGAGCAAAGTCAAATTGAAAATTCCATTGTCTATGCCGAATATACTAGACAATGTACAGTATATGTGTCCAGCGGGCATAAGCTACGCGCATTGCCGGAACACTTACTCCACGAGGCAAAACAATGATGCTCATCTGGATGAGCATCACTGCGTGATTCCGGGACCCCGGAATCGCGCAGCCTTAATTCCAATGTTGACGTGCCTTCCACTTAGAAATCCACTCTTATTCTTAATTCATGTTTCGACGCCTCAGCTGCGAATTCACGTGCGCAGGCCGGTGAGGGCGCCATCCGGATCGTGGCGGGGCACCTGCAGTCAGAATCCCCCGCCCTGCGCACGGCTGCCCTTGAGTGCCTGTGCCAAGCAGCCAAGCACGGAGGCGACCTGGCGCGTGAAGTGGCAGCAGCGTCGGACGTGGTTCGGTCTGCGTTAGTTTCTGCCGGGGATGCGCTTCAGCCCAGGGTGAGGCGCAGCGCCGCCACCCTGCTCCACGAAATCGCCAAGCACGCTGAGGGAAAGGCGGACGTGAGTTTTGGGAGGTTTGTACGATACCTACTGTGAGGGCGAGGAAACTAAGCAAGGAGTCGTTATAGAAGTGGTGCTGGTTTTGGTATGGCTGGGCATGTCCATACACGGGGACACGGTGCTAAAGTATGGTGAAATAAATATGGAGATACGGTGACTACTAACTGGGGCCATTTCAGCAACTATTTTTGTTTCGAGTGCTTGTCCTGTAAGCCAACTGTTCACGGTATTGCTTCCCGTGCCTGGGAAGGACTGTGCGTGAGCGCACGGCGGACGGCTTCGGTCTTCGCGAAACCTTTCATTTTTCGGGTTATGACGGTGGTGAATGTGATGCAGTGTTTGTTAGTAATAAATCAAATGTGATTATATTGAAAAAATTGCCTTGCAAATTCAGTAAGGGAATGGATCATGGGGCGCACGGACACTGGAAAATGAACGAACAGTGACTGCACTTGTACTTTGAAATAATATTGTGACACCAGGGGGGCCTATGAATCCGCGCATCATCGCTATATCGCGAGCCTGGGGCGTGTCTCCCCTTATCAGAAGGGACCATGGGGATCGCGAAAGCCACAAGGGCCCTAAAATCCTAAAGTCAGAGGCCTAAGGCATGAAAAGCCAGAAAATGACCTTCGTGACCTTCATTCCCGAAAATGAAGGATATCGTAGATTTGTATCGTTTGTGGATGTGCCGCCATGTCCCGGGTCTTTCCTTGAATATTAAGTGCGAAAAATATTGTGACGATGCGGCAAGAAAAATCCGCCCAATGGGGTGAAAGTCATTAGGAACATGAAGCGCTGCATTGCGTTCGGATTAACCTGAACATGCACAAGGACGCGCACCTGCACATACAGCTCTTAAATGGAAATAAATACTCTAACAAAAGTTGGGTGGCCTTGCTTCCTTGGAATACGATACTTGCGAGTAAAATAAGGATGATGCGCCCAGCAACAGGGGACTGTCTGTTGTCCTGATTGAGACCGCAATCTCTCCCAGCTTACTTGCTTATTTGTGTGGACTGCAGAGCTATGGTTTGGTCGGAGGCATCGGCCACATCGTGAAGTTTGCAGAAATCGAGCAGGGCAGCCAGCACTCTCTGCCTGGCATCCTGGCTCTCGGCCATATAGCCACGACTTCCTTGGAGGTGGCCACAGCGGTGGTGTCCGTTGCGGGACAGTGCCTGTTGGAATCGTTGCACAGCCGCTATCCACAAGTCAGGTCCGCGACAGCATGGACAATTGAACAGGTCAGCTATCATGGCCAACTTACAGCTCTTCCTTTGGCTCGGGGTGGCGGCATTTTCAAGCTTCTGGACGTTTATCGCAAAGATCGGTGCGTACCCGGACGGAAATTGAGTAAGGATTCAGAATTCAACATGGGCACCTTGGTGAAGTTATGGATAAATGAATCTTGTGAGGGGCTGCAGTGCCGCAGCCATCTGCTATTTTTGATGGCAAAGTTCGTTGACCACTGGCGCATTGACCTTCTTTCGAAAAGCCTGCATAGTTTGAGCAACAGCATCGGAGCACCGTCTGCTGACTTCCAAGGTTGCCTCTGCAGGGAACTGCCGTGCTCGGATGCGCAAATCAAGAAATCGCTCAAGTCTTTGATACACAATTGCAAAAGCCCCGAGTCCCTGGAGCCCCTTGTCAAAGAGGATGTGCCCGAAGAGATTCTGAAGTCCGTCTTGAAGGAGTTCCTGGCCATGTTGCACACATCGATGGACGCTAGAATGCTGCTAGTCACCAGCGGGGCGCTGCAGCGGCTTCAACACCTCTCCCCAAAGATGGGGCACCGCTGTGCCGCTCTCGGTCACGACATCAACGCCCTGTTCCCCGAACGGTTGGTGGCCTACTATGCGCACCCCTCGCATTGCGACCCCGCTCCCGCGAGAGAGGCGAACGGATCCTCCTCTAAGGCAGGGGTCCAGAGTGGCATGGGGCAGTGAATGCGCCAAGTTGGGGAAGCGTGCTCTCTCCGATGGCCGCGCTGAACCATTGGGCGACGTGATTTCAATCTGGCAGAGAGGAACAACGGCGACGGGGCGAGTTTCTGTACAAACAATGACGTTATTTGGGGTTTGGTGAAGAGCGCAGAGGCGCATGTACGAGCTGGTGAGGCAAAGGGATTGGCTTACCAATTCCTCTAGGTCAGAAGCTTCGTGGTTTACAGATCGCGAAGCCGTGTGGAAGCAGTACCCCCACAAGATGAAAACGCTGTCATGTCCAACGCCACGTTCATGGATCTTCCAAAGGCCGAGGCCACGAACAGGGTGTACTCCCAGTGATCGAGGTCGCTGAAAATGACATTGATTTTGTTCTGCAATTAGACGTTTTTGAACGCTTCGTTGCAGAACAGATCGAGCCTGCTCATCAGCGATTGCCGCCGATTGTCGGATGGGACTGGACACCAACATTCGTGCCCGGGAAGTGCGGGCCTCGCCACGGGCAGTTTCTTGATGACTGATTAAACTGAGCCCGCTGGAAAACCTCGTTCAGATCCTATTTGATTTTGTTGGAAAACAGCATGAGGCTGAGCTAAGAATGTGAACATTGTAATTGATAGCCGGCCCAATGGCTTTGGCATGATGCTTCACGGCCCCAGGTGCAGCCCGGGGACAAAAATGGGAGTTGTCTAAATACTGGTCACTGGTCATCCAAAACACTGGTCAATAAGCACTGGTGCTTCAACTGGGTCGTTGATTGAAAGCTTTTCAACCGTTCTGCAGCATCACTCCTTTGGAGTGCACTGGCGCCTGTGTTGCCAAAGGACTGAGCTGCTGCCACATTTGCTGCCCAAACCATCCCAGAAAGGCGTAGATTTAAACCCTGGTCATGTGCGCCATCGTCGATGCCCCTCCGAGGCGATCGGAGGTGGCGAGATTGGTCAATGGACAGGACCTGTCGATAAGCCGACTTGTGCCCGTTTCGAAGCCATTAAGTTGGGTTGGAGATGGCAGAACACGACCTTCATCTTATTCTCACGAGAATGCAGAAAGTTGAACGTCCAAGGGAGTTCTCCACCCAGGCCGAGGACGGTTGGGGCATGTCCTTGGCGTTGCTTGGCGTAAGATTGGTACGACGATTTAAAAGCAAGTATGGAATTTCATAGGGCCGCGGCTCCAGGCTTCAGATTCCGCCCCTCTTAATACGCCAATCTGACGTCATGCACAACGGAATGCCCGTTGTGGCACTATTAAGAGATTCCGCGCGGCTGAACCGGCAGGCATCAATTACTTGGGAGTTTGGACCAGCTGACAGCAGCACCTCCGAAGTTAGAGAAGTGAACACCCGCTTGGATGGCCCGGGGCCAAAAACACAGGAATTAGAGATTCCGCGTTGACAGTCCTTGCTGTCCGTTTGCGTTCCAAGGGTGAGGCCCTTCTCTGGACAACTCGACTCACGTCGCGCGGCCTCATGTGGACATTTTCTAATCTAGAAAATGTCCCAAATGCCGCATTCGACGACCGAGTCCATGTGCCTCAGAGATTTACGGCTTTTGCAACCACCAGAGGCTCGACGAAGGAGGCAACATTTACATCTTCCAACTACTGCGAGACTGGATGCCCCTGAACCAATGTGGAATCAGCAATGACTACAATAAAACTGTGCCAAAGAATACCCAAAATCCCCCCAGAGGCGCTGAGCACGGCCCCTCCTGGAGGGGCGCGTGCGTTCGGGGAAATTTGTGGACAAGTCACGGGCAAAAACTTGTGTCGTGGACCAACTCTGTCCCTCTCGAATTGGATCTGGCCAGTGTGCAACCAAGAGGTCCGCAACGTGTGTGCGATCCTCCAGGGCTTCTGCATTTCTAGGCCCAAACAATATCTGAAAAATCTACAACGTTTCATTTGCGGCGCCCGGGAGCATGCCGTCCAATCATTCTGGCGCTCCTAAGCGGCCCACAGCCCGCCATCATTGTCATTACTTCATGAAATAATATAGCTGAACCCGTCAGCACAGAAAGCGTGCTGTGGAAAGCGGCTCCAGCGTCAGTGCAGACCAATCCATGGACCACAACCCTCCCTTGGCCCCACTGGCGTGCACCCACAGCCTCTTGCGAACCAATACACTTCCTTGATCCCTTGAATGCGATAATACAGCTACAACCCCGACCCTAGCCACTGAGCTTGTCAGATTGATCCCGTGACTCCCCCTGCTCCGCACCAAGTTCAACCTTTGAAAAATCCGAACTGTCTTCGGCATCGCACTCCCGAGGAGTAGAAGCCTCCACGCCTCTCTTGTCCTTGTCACTCCAATCGAGCCTCCGGCGGAACATGTAAATTAAGAGCGTCACCAGACCCACTGATGCCCCATATCCCGGCCTGTCCTTTGCGCTGTCGAACACCTCGAAGCTTTCCAGCCCTCTGGATGGTCCTGGGTTGTGCCCCGGCCCCTCCTCGTGGGTGGAATAGCACGTCGACCACCCAGGGGATAAAGGTGAAGGCCGGGACAGCTCATAGCTGCTGTCTATCTCCTCGCACCGATTGTCCAGCACAGATGAGTGCGTGCTGGAGCAGGCCATCGTTTCACTGCCAGTGCGCAAGGGAGAACACACCGACGTGCCCCCCTGCAAGCATGGCTCCAAAGTTTGTATGTCCTCTTCGACGATCATGCCCATGTCCACTGTGGCATAGGGCTTGAGAGACACCAGCGACGCGTTTTGTGCACACTCTGCGGCACAAACAACGTTGTCACATCGTGTCGCTGCACATCTGAACTTTTTGGATGCCTTGTGGGCCAGCGGTCCCTGGCCCGCATTTATTTCCCTGATAATATCATCGTGCACCTTGCTCCTGCGGCGTTTCAAGTCCCACTTGAAAGAAGGTGGCTGGACTGATGCAGCGGGACGACTCAGGCTCCTTCCCATGGATTTCACCTGCACGTGCAAGATGGCAACGCTTAGAGGAGTGCACACACGGTTACATGCTGGCGACAGTTCAACAGTGCACATCGCTCCACCAACCAGCTCCCAGCTGATGAATACCACGTGTTTGACTCACTGCCACAAACCGTGATAATGCCATCAGCAACATCCACAGGGAGGTTACAGCACAGCTGGTGGGTCCCGACAGACTGGAAACTGCAACTTGGCACCGTCCCGATCGCCTAACCATCACACATTCGGAGGTCGTGCCGGCCTTGCCCATTTCTGGCTGCACACACAGTGAAGGCATGCCAACAGCAACTTCTCAACTGGCAATCTGGACAACACAATTGGCTGCCCTCCTCACCTTCGTTTCAAACAGCTTGGCCACCTCATCGCCCCTTGCAGTGCGAAACAATTTCTCCATAACACTGGTGAAGAACGTCCGTTCCTCGTCCTTGGCCATCGCCAGCCACTGGGCAAGGGCCGCCCTGTCGCGCCAATTCAGCACATCGTACAAAGGCAGGTCTTCAACTTTTTTCTTCAGGTAGAAATCATTGTACAGGGCCGTGGCGAATTCCCGAAAGTGGGCTCTTGTTTCTGCATCTGTCACAGCAAGGAAATCCACCAATTCTGGGAAACGTTCAACGAGGTTCCTCCAGAACTTGGCCTTGTTCCCCATGGACAGGTATGATGTCTCTGACTGATCAGACATGAAGGCTTTTAGCATGTCTGTCAGCTTGTCCCAATCCTCTATGTTCTTTGGGGTCGTCACCAGTGCTCGGTACAAGAAGCTGGGGTCAAAAGTCCCCAGCAGCTCATGACTGACCTGCGAGGACATGGGACACAAATGTGGGAAACTCGACTGGGCAACACAGGCACTTCATGCGCCTGGCAAGAAACATGAAATAGGTACAGAAGAGTACCTCAGAGGCAAAAAAAATATGAACACAATGCAGTCTATCATGCTTATGGACAGCAAGGCTGCACCGTGGACTGGGATTCCATGATAGACACAGGTGGGGCTTCTGAAGCAGTTGCGGATCTTAGTTGAAAGGAAAAGGCTTAATTTCAGCTGTGCATCATCCTTGGTCGTACACAGCGCCGATGGCAGTCCACCACCTCTTTCTAAGCTTGCTCCTCAGATGGCCCAGAGGTGCTGCAATGCATGGCTTGCAACTGAGCAGAGCACTATTCCTCACTTTCTGAAGCCAGCCACCACCACCACAACAAAGGGAGAAGGGGGGAGCGAAGGGGGTGGGGGTTCAACCCGGTCCCATACCTCTGAGCGTTGTTGCTTCTTGGAGTCGATCAGTTTCCACTTCTCCTTATCCAGGATGACTCGCTCATGGAGGTGCCTGACTTTCTGGAGGTGGTAAAGGCGCCTAGTCTCCCAAAGAAACATCACAATGAACACAGCAAACAGCAAGAACAGGGACCCCAGCACTATGCCCTCCAAGATCTGTCTATTTTCCTCTAAAAGGTTGTCACTGAAGAACATGACGCCCCCAAAGGCCTCAAACATGAGTGCAATCAGCAGAAAGCTGAACAGGATGTCAAGAAATGAGTCCACATAGGGAGCGGTGTACACATGCAGCATGAGGGACGCATTGATGATAATTGCCAAGGCTCCTGCTTGGAAAGCTGGGTTGTTCACAAAGACAAGGACCACCACGAAGAGCAACTTCCTTGCCACAACAATCAGGCTCGTCCAGAAGTAGTCCAATTCGAATCTTCGGTAGAGCCAGCCATAACGCCGAAGGTTCACTGGGTCTGGAAATGACTGCTCTCGATTCAGGACCCAAAGCTTCCAGGACACAAAGCACAGGTACCCACCCGTGTAGACCACTGACCCAACCACACCCAATTTTACGATGTCCCTGTGTTCTGAGGAGCCACACTCTATGTCTGGACTAGTTCGCAGGACAGACTGCTTCCCAATGTCTTCGCATTTGAAGGCGTCGAAACAGTACTTTGATATTGTGACATAGGTAACCTCCAAAGATGAGAAGAAGGCAGCAATCGTAAAATCCAACTTTGCGAGCAGCTGATCCCTGTTCTCCGGCACGTTGACCAGCCAGTGGAGCCAGTGCGAAGAGTGTATCATCTTCCGTCGTTCCTCTGAGCACCTTCTGTAAAAGCTGTACATCATCCACGACAACAAAAAACCCACAATGGCCAGCATGGTCATAATGAGGGGCAGCAGCAATTGAACGATGAAATTTTGCTTGTAGCTCCAGGGGAGTAGGCAGCTGGGAGACAGGATATCAACATCGAAGTCGAGAATGTTCGCGATGTTGAACATGAAGCTCAATTTTACTGGCCAGTTGAGGTCCACCTCCCCGATGATGTTAGCCAGCTGTGCCCAAGACAGCAACATGTCCAGGGAAGCAACGTTGTTGGACACAACGACGTTGAGGATGTACCATGCAATCAGCAATGCCACCACCATAAAGCCAAACACAAATGCTGGGAGGCACTCGTGGCAATTGCCAAGGAAGTTATAGTACTCGTCTTGGCAGAAAGAGCACAGCCTGTGAGGAGAACACACAAACACAGGTAAGCCACAGGAATCAACACTGTGTTCACATCACAGTGTTCATTCACCATTTTGTGACAACAGGAACTTGGAACAACAAGCTCTGCACAAGGCCAACTGCTTGCACAACCAGCACGTTTGATCCTTGCCAGGAGTTTCAGCTCTTGGGCACCTCTGTGCAGCAGCCCTGCAAGCTCAAACCAGCTCAGGGATGGCGACAAACAATGAGAAAAGCACAGCAGGAGAAAGACATAATACTGTTACCCTGCTTCGTATCCAAAGCATGCCTGCCATGCTTATCAAGCCACTCAACAGTGGCCAGGGCCATCCACCCAAACAACCCTGAACAGCGTGGGTTGATTATCACATTGCCAAAGAGACCTGTGCTGCTCCAATGGGCCTACATGGTTTGATGTACACAGCTACACAACTTGGCATGCACACTCACACACAAGCAGAAATATCACATTAAGTGCCTTTTTGTATATGCATCCTGCTTTGGATCCTTTTCTATCGATGCAGGCACCAACATCACATCAAGGCAGCACAGCTTCTGCTGACAGGTTGTTGGGGTTGAGTGTTCAAGTGCTTGATCTGTTTATGGTTTCCAAAATATCTCTCCACACACATGCAAAACGCACCTTCCTGTGTGGCCTGCCTTGCACTGCATTGTGAGGTCGCATCCTCCGAGGCACAGGCTGCGAGGTTCACATTCATAAACCTCCTTCGTTTCGGCCTCTATCCAGAAACCAGCCTCAGGGCAAATGCCACTGTCACTGCTCAATGTCACATTGACGCCCCCCGCACACTTAGCCCCTGTTGGGCACTCATAACATTTCTTTCCTCTGTTATCTCCGTCTGGGTGGTAGTAGGACTCCTGGCAGACACACGACTCGATGCCAATGCCCCTTGTGCTGTTTCCACTCAGCTGCGTGGTTGGTGGGCACACCTGGCAGCTCGTCGCACTCTCCCAGTAGTGGCCAGGAGGGCATGAACGACAAGAGAGCTCGTCCTCCTGGTAGGTGACTTCACCCTCAGGGCATGTCTGGCATGGTTCAAAAAAGTGCTCTGCCAGTGTGGACAGAAACTGCCCACTGATGCAGGTGTTCCTGTAGGCATTATCTGCAGGCATCTTCAAACTTGCACTTGCTGCTTCAACTGGCAGAACGGCAACAATGTTCTTGTGAGCTTGTTCCCCCTGTTTCCCCTGTTTCACCTGGATCTGCGTCGTCACGGGGTCCATCCCAATATTCCTTTGGAACTCGTCAAATCTGACCTTCCCAAAAAAAGTATCCATATTCAGCCCCTTCAGTGCCAACCTGACCCTCTCATACCCCGTGTTGCTGTTGACCTGGTCATCGCAAATCAAATTTGGGCTGAACAGCAGCCCATCTGGGTTCCCTTTAAAAGCCAGGACGTCGCAGTTCTTGAAGGCGCTTTTGATGGCTTCTGTCAGTGTGTAGGCCACTGCAGAGGCCCCAGCGGCGAGCGCCGAGGGCGTTATCTCGAAAATATCTTTGTATCTGTCTCTGTAATCTTGAGTACTGCCAAAGAAGCTGTCTTTGTACTGCACATCTGTGGACCACTGCGCAGCACTCAAGATGCTATTTGCTGTGATGGGATCCAGATCTGCCACAAAGTCTTCCCTCGTTGGCCCTGAGGTTAGAAAGAACGTCCTTAAGGGGTACCTGCAACAAACAATTAGAAATGCACATAAATCAGGTCGCCGTTTCAAGGACAGAATACGAGAATCAATGTTGTGTGCCTCACAACATGGCATGCACTTGCGTGGCCACCAGGCCGATCTGCCTTGCTACACAGCTATGTTTCTGCCTTTTGAGACGGCCTGGCGATGCATTTCATATTGGCTTCGCCCCAATTTCCTGGCATGGGCTTGCAAAGCACCACATAGCTCAACTTTGTGGTCCAACCATGCTCCTGGATGTACACCAAATGGTATTGTGGCATCTCGATCACGATGTGCTGCTGCCTGTTTCGCTGAGTCACACAATTCAGATCCCACTCTAGACGACAAAATTGCAGCTTTCACTTCTGTAGTTTTCAGCAGAGGTGCCCCTGGTAGCCTTGGCACACTCTGCGCACGGCAAGCAAACACTCCGCCAACCTGCCCCTGGTTTTCGTCCCGCCTAGCACATATTGCAATTTCACCGGAAAATTTTGTTCCCTCGTCGCTGCCGGACAACCCCCGCAACCTGACAGGCCGGTCACGGAACCACCCTAACAGGTGTGCGTCCCATCCCTCCAATTCATGCGGCACGGACAAAGGTAAAAACACAGCCCCCCAGCCTCCACCAACAACCACACCTTCGATCAAAAACAGGTGCCAAAGCACCAACACAGATCCCAACCACGTCCTGCCCGTCAATCCATTCCAATCCCAGTCCGGCCCAGCCGGCCACTGCGACCCTCGATCCCCCCACAACTCACCTGGCCTCGTGCAGGGCTTCGAACAGTCGCCTCCCCTCCGGCAGCAGGGCGCATGCGATCAGCGCCTCCGCTTGGTTGTCCCTCAGGCTTCGGACGTACGCCCTGAACCAGTCCGGGTCGCCGTCCACCTCCGCCTTGGTGTAGTTTATCACCGGCGACAGCAGGTTGGGCGTCAGCACGTTGACCGTCCGGCGGAAGCGCGACAGGTACTCCACCGCCTCGTCGCAGGTCGTGTTGGTGAAGATGTTGTCCGACTGGCGCACGATCGCCACGCGGCTGATCTGCTTGAGGTTCATGCTGGAGATTGCCAGCTCCGTGTAGCGCCGGTTGGTGACCGTGACGCCGAAGACGTTGCGGTACCCCTCCTGGTACACCTCGTCCGGCCCCACACAGCAGTGATAAAGGATCCTCCCTGCTGCGTCGCTGATATTCGACTCCGAGATCGCAAACTTGGGGTGGGAGCCGAACATGAAGTGCACAGCCTCCCCCTGGAGCAGAGTCTGCACCAGGGCAGTGTGGTTTTCCTTGTCGTTCAAGTCGTCCAGCGCGGTGAACTCGAATCTGAAGTGCACGGCGCCGTCCCTGCCCTCCACCTTGAGGCCCCGCCCGTCCTCCAGGGCGTTCACCATGTCCAAGGCCAGCTGGTAGCCCCGCCGCGCGTCCTGCATCGTCCGGGTCTCATTCACGCTGCTGAGCACGGCGCCCACGCGGAAGGCCGCGCCCCCGGCCCCATCCTGCGCACCAGCGCGCGGCGATCCCGCTAGCAGCAGGGCCCCCAGCAGGGCGATGGCCATCCCGGGAAGGCGCACACGCGGCCTCGCCATCATCGTCAATGTGTAGTTGAACCCGCCCGACGCGCCAGGCAGCGATCCTGCCGCCTGGGCGTTCGGGTCAGGGCTGCCGCCAGCTGGAGCGGAGCCGCGGATGGAGGAGCCAGCAGTCCGCGGTGTGCCTTCGCGTCCCCGCCTGGCCCGTGGGGGTGGCGGGGTGGGGGTTGGTGCCCCTCACGGTACCCACCCTGCTCCAAAGTATGGCGCCTGCAATGCAGCCACGAGGGTTGGAAAGGGGGGTTGAAGATGTTGCCCCGGCATCTGACCGACGGCGGCAGGCAGCTGACCGACTGGCGCCGCCAGCCTGGAGCGCTGATCACAGGATAGGGTCGACCCGTCCGGCGGGGAGCGCCCCGGCGCCCCCGGGGGTGTGGCGGGGGCGCGGGGGGCGGCGAGTAGCGTCCATACGACAAAAGGTGCTCGGCATCGTGTGGCGGCTGGGAGGGCGAGGCGCGGGCGGCGAGCCAATGCCGCAGCCTCAAACCGGCAGTCGATTCAAGCAGGGGGAGGGAGGGGGCGGCTGGGGGTGGCCGATCAAGGCGCGACAGAGCGTCAGCAGCGCGGCCAGCCACCGTCCAGATTGGGAGCATGCGTGTTGCGGTGGACTGCTGAACGCGCGCCTATTTGGGCAGGGGACGGCCAGCGGGGGCCGGGAATGCGCGACGGGCTCGAGCTCGGGCACTTGCCCAACGTGGACAGACTTGGGCCCGTGCCCTGCAGCGTCGGTAAACGACGGTGGCAGGGCGCGTTGAACGGGCGGTGGCGGTGCACAGCTCCCGATTGCGCGCTCGCCGACAGTCGGCGGTGCGCGCGGTGCGTTGCGCACAGCGCTGGGAATGACGCGGACCGCCGGGAGCAATTACGATGAACGCAACTGTTCAGAGGCGCGAAATGCCTATTGCCGCCTGCGCTCAACGCATGCTGCAGAATTGGTCAACACCACCAGTTTCATGCGAGCGCACAAGTGACCGGGAGGGACACACCATCAACTCTCTGTGAAGCAGTCTCTGCAATGCTCTGCCCACCCAGCGGGGGTCGGAACCGCGGCTGGGGATCGAACCTGCGGGTACCTAGGGAGTAGACCTGCCCCACCGCGTGACGCCCCGGCTTTGAACTAGCGCCGCGGCAGAGGCTCTCTTCTGGGCGGCTGGCCGCGGGGGCCGTGGCGATCTCGCGGTGTGCACGACACCACACGCGGGCCGCATCAAACGGATACTGCAGGCTTTTCGTCGCAGGGCGACCGTCCGTTGGTCGCTCGTTGGGAAAAATAGGGGAACTTGACGCAATCATAGTCTGTACGATTCCATGTGGTGACGAACTGGCTTTCATGTCGACTGAGGCGTGCGAGCGACCCTCAGCCCCAGCAACCAAGACTCTGACATGCTGGTGCGGAGTTTGCAACTCAGTGCGCCTGAGGCCAGAGGGCCGTCCCCATTAATGCGGCCCAGGCTGGTCAAACGCAGGGTTTGACTTGCATGCGCATCAGCGCGTGCAAGCACATGCGAACGCCGTTGAGGCGTAGAGAGGGGGTATCTGTGGGGGGCAAGGCAATGTCGAAAAAAGCCACAGGGGGGCAGCGCAGTTGCGAACTGAGGAAGGGACCCTGCACGGCGGTGCTCTCGGGCGTTCCGCCGCGCTGTAGGCACGGTTGCGGGGGTTTGCAAACCTGTTTTGTTGGGCGATGCACAAGGTTCCCCGGGCACCAATCATGCGCTGCTGGCAAAACTTGACGGGCTTGCATTCGCCACCGCGCTTGCCCGTACGCGGCACTAGCGCACCCTGCAGCTGTTGGCGCTGCAGGGTAATTCAATTCGGGAGTACACGACGAGCGGGTAGGCGGTGCCGACAGCCTGTGCAAGTCCGTTTCAAACAGCAGTTGAATGTGAGAACATTTCATCCACGGGCAGGCATTGTGAGGCATCAGCGGTGGGCTGGTCATCGTCGCTCTTCGTTCATCGACCTCGGATGCGACCAGCTCGATTGCAGGCGCTCCATGGAACCGACCAAGGTTCGTGCATATGTATCACTGGTCAACGGCGGCGGCTGTTTCCCAGATTTGAAGGTCAGCTACTTGCCTACCCGTCGCCCGTCACCAGCACCACCACCGCGCACCCTCTGGTCGCTTAACGTGCGTGTCACACCTCCGCAGTGAACCCTCCGAAGTTTCCCGGCTTGGAGCCAGTCCGTCAGCTTTGCTCCTCGCCCTCGACCACTCGCTGGGCCCACATTGCCCGGGATCAACGCCCACAGCCCACAATCATGGGCTGCGCTTCCAAACACGTGGCTGCTGCGTCGGACACGCGCCAAACCCGAAGCGCTGGCCCAGTGCTCGTAAACGGCGCCACCTACCCCCCTCGGCCCTGTGGGTCCCCGCGCCCAACGGACAGACAACGATGGGCGTTACCGTCCACTGTGCGTAGCACATTGCGCCCCAAACGGCATCAGATCTGATCACGATGGGCCGTAGAAGAGTGACGCGAATCAAGGGTACGCGGGCACGCGCGCCTGGGCGCACTGATTGGCCCAAGCCCCCCCGCGGTCTGGGCCCCTGGCTCCGCTGCCGCTTCCGTCCAGCGGGCCGGCCGGACGCCCACCCATCGCCCACCCACCGCCAACGCCATCCGTTCCTAACGCGCGCCGCCATTCCGGCCAACAAGGACGACCCTCCACCGCGTGCACATTCGCCCACGCGCGCCCCAGCGCTCGCTTGCCCGCACCAGCGACGTGATGCTCAACGGCAGCGAGCGAAAATCCGCTCCTCAGCATATGCAGATGCTTTCCAGCCCCTCCCCCCCCACCAAACTCTCATTTTCTCCAAACAACGTCCAACAGGCTCGAAAGAAGCGCACCTGAAGTCCAACTGTGTGGGCAATCGGATTGGCTGCGACCGAGCTGGTGGTCGATGGATCGGCGTTGGGCGGTCGCTCCCCCTGGTTGCCGCCCACCTCTGTCCGCCTCCTCCGCGTGGTGCCGTTGCGCGAGAGCGCAGGCGCTCCACCCACGCGCTCCTGCCGGTCCACACCTCCCTGTCGTATACCAAGGCACTTTGTGGAGACGTACATTCGTTTTGAAAGCGCCGCCACGCAGGGCTGTGATGCGGTGCAGGGGCCATGAGCAGATGACACACCTGGCGTTGCTGCCACCAGTTCACGCAGGGCGAAAAGATCCGCGATTTCTTTTCGTCGAGGCCAGCACAGGGTCGTTCACACGAATCGCGATGGAGTTTCTGGTCGGGAAAGACTCATGGAGCAAGCAAAAGTCGTTGAATTGTGGCTATGGGGACTTTGGCTCCGAGAGCCCTGGGGAAACGCTCAATGAAGTGGCTAATGTGCACATTGATCTTTTCCCAAGGGCCCTCGGAGCCCAGGCCCACGTGAGCTCGAGGATGGGGTGTGTTCGTGTCGCCAATAATGGGTCTCATCAGCAAACATAATATCTTAATGATATTACTCGGTGGGCGGCCCGTGAATTGTAGAAGTGGGGAGAGCGAGTGTCGACAGCCTTAGCACCTTCACTAATATGACCATCACTCAACAGATTGGCGCGTAGTAAGGCGGGGCGACCCAAAAATCATCAAGCAGAAGTGCATATATTCAGCACATTAGTGCTGTGAAGGTTGATCTGAATTTGGATTTGAAAGCATCAATCGGCTGCAAATCAATCTTGCAACATGCATGTGTCATCCCCATTTCATTTAGAACTTTTCAAGAGGCGCTTGATAAGGAAATGCGTCAGTAGATGTTGTTTTGGTCACGATTTGGCCGACTATGTACTTTATGAACGGGACCCACGTTTATGATGGAGGGGGCCTGCCCCCGTCGTGCAGCCGGTGTGTGTGTGCGTGTGCGTGTGGAGGCGCCACGTGGCTGTGTGATGGGAATATGACCCGCGGGGCTTTCTGTGGCTGCTGACCGCAGGAAATGAGGTGTGATGGACCGTGGCGACGCGGTGGTGTGATAGGAAGATCCCGGTGAATCAAAAGATTCTTTCACATTAAGGGTGTATAGTGTCAAGTGTCAGGCGCCTTGGGCGGATACCAGTGCGGAGGGCGCGAAGAGCGCCAAAGGGGACGATGCATTGTTGACTTCAGCATGGCAGCTGTGACAAAGACAGTTTGTGGTTTCTCTGGCCTCGCGCGGCGGTTCAGGCATGCGGCCTGGCTGCCTGAGTCCCCTGGCTGTGCCCGCCACGTGCGTCATGGCCTGAGCGCAATAGCGCTCGTTCATTTCGAAGGTCGCGAACATTCTGGGCCGTTCTTGAGCCGTTGTCTTGCCGTTGACGACCAACATTTGAGTGCGGTCTTGCTGCCGGCCAAAATCGGCCAATCATCATCGCTGCACAGCTGTGGCAAGGTGGAAGGAAGCCCTGCTGCGTCATGCGCTGCCGCATTGTAGACGGGGCTGACCTGGTCTGTGGTCCTAATTAGGTTATAACCGACGTTATTGACTTCATCGACATTTGAGGAGCTGCTGCTGACGAAGGCAGGCAGGGTCGAGGGGTGGCGATCCCTGAACGGGAATCGTATGCTCGAGTCCACGGCAACGGTTTACAGCCGAGGCAAAAGGACAACAGACGTTCTGTCCTTTATACCCAGTCCGTCCATCAACATCCTTAATGCAATCCCTAGTGCTTTGTCATCTTTTCATACATTCAGTTATTAGTAACACTCAATCAGTTCTAGCCGTAACACTGCCATTGATTATGGAGCTCTGGTCGGCAGTTTCAAGCGTTTCTACAAGGACGTTTGCATGCGTTGGCCAACTGCTGGTCATCTCCTGCACGTTTGAGACAACCATCTGCTGCCATTGCCATTTTGGGGTGACGATCGTCATTGTGGCAAGCTGCGTTTCGTGGGGAGCCAATTCGCGCAAGGGGGGACATCTTGATCGTTCAGCGCACTCTCAAACAAAGTGGAGCTGAGGCTGTCGACGTGTACCAGCTGCCCATGAGTGTAGGAGAGGGTTTTGCATGGCTCCCATGGAGACCATTGACATGTGGGATGGTCGTTGCGCCATCAACGGGGATTGGATGTTGCAACTATGGGCATGTGACCATCTATGGCTGTTGGGTAATATTGTAGCTGTTGTATCCGAAGGGTAGCTACCCTTAGATCGTTTAATCTTCCACTGCAGCGCACATCCGGAAGTTCTGCTGGCCATATGGCCGGTGGAGGTCAACAGGTGATGTTCGGCAACATGTTGAAAGTCGAAAAGTTGGCGAATCGGGATAGGCTCCGTGCCTTGCAAATTCTGGAATTCGCATTCTGGGACGTGTCACAACGCTTGGAGGTCAAGTCTTGCCCATAATGACCCCGACGACCGGATGTTTTGAGCTGGCTCAGATATCAGCATTGCGCATGCAATGCACTCGAGGGCATGCAGACACCAACTTCTCGGCAGGCCTGATTCGGTAACGGCAACCAATGTGCAAAATCGCAGCTGCCGCTTTCTGTATCTAACACAGGATGACATAGCCAAGCCACAAATATGCACAATAAAGCAGTCAGTCTGCCGAATTTGATCCAAATATAAAGAAGCAAGCAAACGATGCCCCTGCCTGCATCAAGATGGCACCATCATTCAGGACACAACTGTCAGTTACTGATTGTGTGGTACAACCATTCTTCCTGTTGTCGTCATTTACTCTTCGGTCGAATCTGGCCCTCAGCGCTGGTGGCCCTGGATCACAAAAGCTCTGCGACTTTCAACTGTCAGACTTCGCTGCAGGCACACTTAGCTTGCGACTTCGCGTTCGCAGCGCCAAAAGTGAAGGTTTTCCATCCAATGCAGAAACAAAACAGAATATTCAACGTTGCATTGCAAATTGCGTTTGCGGTCACTGACGCCGGCGTCCTCAGAAGGTCCTCCCAGCTGGGCTTGTGAAATGCGCCGTCAAATACTCTATATTGCGCATACACGCAGTGCGTTAACGCACAGAGTTTCAAGTAATGAAATACGGGGTATGCTGTGTGCATATGCCATGCGCATATCCTTGAAGCAACTGGCCTACACGGCGTTAAATGCAGCAAAATGCGAAATAAGACTGGAACTATCTTCACAAGTAAAGCTCCTGCGCAAAGCCATCACCCGTTGGCCACGGCACATGGGGAGATAGGCGGCTGCAGAAGCAACGCCCCGACACTGGCGATTGCAATGATGGGTGCATTGCCATGAATGTAGCGCCGAGCAATGCTGCAGCAAATGTCCATGTACGCATATTGACAAGTGTTGATGTGTTTGTCAATATTGCAGAAGTGCTGATGCTCAGACTCTGTTGCAACGATGTCCGCCATTGCATCAATGACAAGGCACCTACAATGACGCATTGATTTCTACCTAAATAGCAAATGGTCTCCCCCACGATAGGCGGACCTGCCCAAACATCCGACACAGATTATACCTTTTTCTGCCTTCAACCGCAACAGCTTTCTTACGTCATCGCCGAATTAAGCAGCGTCCCTTCAGAACATTTTGTATTTTGCCTTGCGCGCATGCCTTACAAGCAGCATCTGTGCTCCCATGTCAAGCTTGGCAACACATCTGCAGTCTATCCCCACCTGGTCGGTTGCTGATGCTATTCGCGTACCAATCCTTGAGTTGATCCGGCACGTGATCACTGCATTGTTGACAGCTGTGTGTGCAGATTGTGCAATGAAATGATCTGATGGCTCTGTGCTAATGCAGGCATGGCGTGACGGGGCGTACATACATGCACGTGCACACATGTGACATTGGATTATGCGAATAATGTACCCTGCCAGTCGGCCGAATCAAATCCCACATGGCCTGTCCCACGACCGACTTCTCACCCCGCCTGCCAGGCCCCAAGCATAGATACTAACGAGAATGAAATAAGAATAAAGTGAACAAAATCCCACTGCGAAGAATAAACAATCATGCGCCCTGATGGACCACCACTCACACAGCGACGCGCCCTTTGACAACCAACCAATGGGTGGGGTGGCTGCCAGGGAACTCCAGCCTTAACCGAAGGCCTAGCATCGTGTTTGGGCACAAAAATTTCCACGACGTGGGGCCATCTACGCCCCCCTTTGTCCGCCGCGCCCACTGTTGGTACGTTTTGGGACTTGCAAAGTTCTTCTCCACTTTCGGCAGCACAGGGCAGTATTCCACGCCACGGTTTCAATACCAGCGAGCACAGCTGGCGCACCCTGCCCTGCAACACGCCCAATTCGGAATTGAAGAAAAAAACGCATGCCTTGATGCGCGCCGTGGCCAGTTACCCCCAAGTTACCCCCGACCTGGCTGCGATGTGGCCACCACAAAGAATTCCCACGCTACCTACCAGGCGTGAGCCAAGGCCACTTGCCCACCATTTAGCTGCCCTGGAGATACATGGCATGGACGCATACCCCGATCCCACCTAGCTCCATCGGGTGGACGCCATACACACTCGGCACAAAACTGCCCCGCAAACCGGCCCTCTGCCATACCGATACTTGGCATCAGCACGCACCTGTCTACCCACCCAGTGCCAAGACATCATGCGAGAATCGACCTCCCTTGCAAGCCACCGAGCACAGACAACATAAAACAGAACACAGCACCCACACCATTCACATTGGGCTTCTGTCATTCAGTGCACATGTCCATTGTTGACACAAGCAACAAACAGAAAGACACGGGCAGGAGTGCCTGCAGGTTCCCTCCCATTCCAAAGAAATCAATGCAAGATAACACGCATCACTCTCAGCAAGCCGGGGCGCCCTTCCAACAAGATACCCCTGTACATGAAACACATCAGCCCAACTGGCTGCAGGTCCCAAGGTCCAGGATATTCCCAAAGCCCTGCTGCTGCCCCCAAACAGGAAATCTTACACAGTCTCCCAATATCCCCCTGGCCCAAGCCACTCATATTTCGCCACCTTTAAGCGTACAAAGACACACCACATCCTTTGGCCCACATGAGGTCAGCAAACTGCACAACCGACCATGGATTGCGTTGCCTAGCAACAGCAGCACTGAGCAGCAAGTCAGCGATCGTACGGTGACACCCGATGCACATGGCTATGCCGCCTGTCAGCTCCACCAGCGCCTCTGGGGTCTTCCTCCCTGTGACTGCGGCCATTCCCATAATCACGCCGATCAGCATAGTAGTCACTCTCAACCCGCTTGTAATCTGCAGCATCATACGCTGACCGGCCCCCTTCCATCCGGCCATAGTCGTATGCCCGCCTGTCCTGCTGCGTGTACCCCGCATACTCTGCTGTGCGGTCACTGCGGCCATACTCACCAGACCCCTGATACTTGGCATAGTCCTCTGGGCCGTTTATCTTTGCATAGTCGTATGAAGATCGGTCCCCTCCAGCCCCACCTGTCCCTCCCATGCTCCCTGTCACACCCCCTCCCCCACTCACCGTCGGCTTCGAGTAACCTGACGCCCTATAGCCTGCATACAAGCCCGAGCCATATGTATCCTGCTGGCCATTGCCCCTGTAGTCACCATAACCAGACCTGCTGTCTTCCTGGCCCATCGTCCGGTTGTATGCAGAATATCCCCTCACATCATTGGCAGGCCGATCGTAGCCAGCCGCAACCTGGCCGCCGCCCTCATACCTCCCACCATACCCTCCCTGGGTGTCTTGGCCACCCGAGCGTTGGTAGCCACTGTAGGGATAACCGTCCTTGCCAGAGTTGTCATACTGGCGTGGGTATGTCTCCCCCGTGCCCCCGTATCGCTCAGAACTGTACTGGCCATAGCTGCGGCTACCTTGATTGGCTCTCTCGTCAGGAGGGCCTCGGTCGCCCTGGGTGCCACGGGAGTAGCTGCCATCGGGGGGCCGCTCATAGCCAGGGAAGCCACCTTGCGCGTCGCCTCGCCGGTCATAACCACGCCCCGAGTCACCTCGATCGTACCCCCTTCCCATACCCCTGTCGTATCCATAACCACCACCAGCCCACCCCCGGGGACCAGGTTCGTTCCTCCCATAACCTCCACCCATACCTGGATTGGGGCCCATGCCTCCAAAGCCGGGGTGCCTCATACCACCCCTGCCAGCCCAGCCAGGCATGGCAGGCGGGGGCGGGAAGCCCATCATGTTGAAGTCCGGTGGCGGCATGCCATACGGAAACTGGTCGAACCCGGGGCCAAACATGTCAAAGCCGCCAAAGCCAAATGGCTCATTGAAGAAACCTGGCCTGGGACCGAAGTTTCCACCACCAAAATGCATGTCTGCCTCGTTCTGCAACTCAGATGCAAGAGTGAATCAGCAGTGTGAGATTCAAGGTCAACTGGCAGCCTTGTCCCAAGCCTTGGAAGACTTGACAACAAAACTGTCAATTCAGTTCTGAGATGTTTTGCCACCATCCAGCTGCGAAAAACAAATGACAGGTAGCAAAATTGCCTGAAAGAGGGACAATCACCACTGCACCAAAGCCTTGCACCACTTCCCACAATGGACACTGCTGAAGATATGCACAAATCTACAGGAAGCACGCATTCAAGAAAACCGTGCATGGTGCACAAGCGGGACTGCTTACATATCTGTACCACCACCATTTCTCACCAAGAACTTCACATGTATCTTGCTTCCCTTCAAATCCTTGCCATTGAGAGTCTTGATAGCACTGGCCCGTTCAGCAGGCGTTCCAAATTCACCCATCCTGCAATAACCAAGTCAAGGCACACGCAAACACAGACACACCCCCATTTATGACACGCACACATGATGCATGCAGACAACTTCTGAAAATCCACAGTGAGCCATGCGTTTTAGCAAGCAGCTCACTAATGCTGGCATACCAATTCGACATTTCGCCTGCAAATGTTCCCACACTAATAGCAGCCAAAAGACCATACCCACATACGCATTGTACTTTCCCACTTCTGCCCATTCCCCTGACGTCTGAGCAAGACAAATGCAGCCGGCACCAAGTCACTTGCCACCGTATCATCAGTGTGTTGGGAGACATCTCAACAAACCAAGATGCTACACCGACCCACAAGCCTTTTCAGTTGGGCAACCACATGCCACCCGCATCTGGCCATAAGTCCAGCACAAGCAGCCATATCTACTGGTAGGCAAGGTATTTTGAGCACTTTAGGTTGGCTCCCATGCTGCCATCCAGCCATTCAGAGACCCAAACCCATCCTCCAAGTGGCAGTTTGAGGTGTGTCTCCCATACAATTTGCAAGTCTGCCGTTTTCCAAAATGCACACATGTTAGGAATGGGCTTGAACAGGTGCCTGAATGTTAAAGTCAGCCAGTTGGTTTAGATCAGCATGTCTTCCAGCACAACCTGCCCAAGCACAAGCTACGAAGTGCACAGAAACATCATAGCAGGCCAGCCACATGACCCCTTCCCACCCAGCAATCCACTTCCCCCTTTCTGAAAGTATGCATACCCAACTCCAGGTTCAACGATGTCAGCGTATTTGACCTCGCAGCCGGAATCCCTCAGAAAATCCTTCAAGTGCCTGCCACAGATGCGCACACATACCATTGAAACTGAACAGCACTTCCAATGCACTCCTGTCCATCATGGTTGGGAGCATGCTACCCAACTGACACATGCGCTAACAGCAGTCAAACGCCAGCAGCAACTGGTGACTCTGCCCACCTCCAGGTAATCGTTGGAGGCAGTCCATAAATGAGAACCCTATAGCCCCTGGGTGGCCCCCTACCACCTTCCATTCCTCCTCTCTGGGGATTGTACCCCCCACCCATTCCAAACTTTGGCCCCTGTGGCATGGCCACAGTCACTTCGATCTTTCTGCCATCCAGCTCTGCACCATTCATCTGCAGAGCACACCAGAGGTCTCACGCTCATCCACTTTTCCCCATCCACAGTTGCACTTGTCCATTTGGTGAGGACAGCAACAGGGAACAAAACAAGCACAAACAGTGTATGAACATGGACATGGACGTACACCAGGTAACAAGGCCCAAACAAAAATGCACACTGGGGACAGCAGCTGCTACAGAGAGAAGCAGGTCACGTCGTGAGCACCCCTCGCAGTGGACAGGCCCCTGACACAACAACACCAGGGCATTCAAGAAAATGCCCCTGGAAGCTTATGCTGGAAGCTGGAATGGAAATCGCCAATCACAATTTGGCAATTCACGCTGCAACGAGGGGCCCGTGCCTTGTTGATTGCATTGCGCATGCTCTCTTCATTATCATAACTGACGAATCCGAAGCCCTTGGAGTGGTTTGTGCGGTCGTACACCACCTGCTCAAGCCAGGCCATGAATAAGTCAAAAACAGGGACAGAATGCACTTGCTCTTTGCATGTGTTTACTGCTTGCAGCGCATACTTCCAGAATCATAAGCGTTCTGCCCCTGCCCAACAATCACTTGGAGGAAGTATGCTTTATTTGCGTTCGTCGGTTCAAGGGCAAAGCAGTGCACTTTCAAGTGGGTGGTACCAGCCCCGTTTCTGCCAGTGCAACTGCAGACAGAAAACCCGAACTCAGAGACCAGAGCCAGTGCGACATGCAAGGAACTGCAGATTTCGCCCAACTCAAGCTTGAAAGAAAGCCCTTGCGTGTCAAGGTGTCTGAGGAGGGTGGAGGCTTGGGTTAAAGAGGCCAATATGAACATCCATGCCACAAAAAATTCAAACTCCTGGCAACAGGCTACCTTAGCTGCGTGGCGCTTTGAAGCATAGCATAAACCGGCGTTTGGGAAGTTGAAAGAACTAGGCTGGGAAGCGAAGCCGCTGTTTTGCGTGCCAGCAAAAACACATGCTGCCGTGGAGCAGTAACACAAACGCGCGGGCGACGTGTGCAAACGGGCCCCCCCGCCCTCCGCAACTCCGGAGATCCCACAGCATCGCTGCCCAGCAGACGCGCCCGCCACCCGGCCCACGCCGGCCCCTCCGCAAGGCTCGGTTGGCGCAGCGAGGCCCCGCATCATCCCAGACCTCCCCCTCCCCTCCCACCCGCCCACAAACCTCCGCGTCCAGCAGCGTGCCGAACTCCTCGAACGCTCCCCGCAGCGTGGCGGTGGTGCTGGAGTAGGACAGGCTGCCCACGTACAGCCTGAACCGCTTGGCGTTCCCGCCCTCGCCGGCCGCGCCGGCCGCCCCGCCGCCCGGCCCCCCTCCTCCCGCCGATCCGGGCCCCCCGTCGGCAGCATCAGCCGCCGGGCCCTGGCCGGCGCCCTGCTGGAACTGGCTGCCCATGAACCCGGACGCCGGATCCGCGGGATCGGCGGGGGCCTGTCCGTCGCTGCGGCTGCCCGTCCGATCGCTGCCGGCCGGGAGGTCGTCGTCCGAGGCGTGGGAATCCAGCGGTGGCGGCGCCGCGGCGGTTGCCGGGAAGCGCAATGTGTTTGTGGGGGTGGCGTGGGTGCAGGGGGAGAGCGGCGATCACCTTGGGCCTCGCGACAGCCTCTGTTGGGAGGTGGTGGATAGGTGACTAACTAGTGCTCAGGACAGGGGGGAAGGATCTGTTGCGAGAAAGGAGAAAGAAACGAGCCATGCAATGGCGATGGACATGGAATTAACTATCCTGTTAATGGGTTTCTGCGAAGGGCGACGATTGGGAGGGCGCGCAACGGCCAGGTCGGGCCGTTCCGCCTTTTGGACAGTTTGGGCCAGTCATAAGCCGGTTTCTGTCACCCCTGTACTCGGGGTCAGTGCTGCCCGACGTATCCAAGGGAGCTTGGGTTGAACCTTGTACCTTGGGCGCAGCCAAGGGGACCGGTCAAGCTGGCCCTTGGGTTTGGCGGGGAGTTTGGCGGCAAGTGGGAGTGCTATTTCAGGCGCGACCCTTGGCGCCCCCCTTATCTTGTTTCGCACCCGCCCAGCCCACCCGAATAGAGTGAGTTTGGTTAGCTGTGGGATGGAGAGGGAGTTGAGTACGAGGAAAGGGAGCTGACGCTGGGTTGAGTCACCATCAGAGTGACATTAAGTACTATGCGAAGCGAGGGCACATTTCAAGTGGGTCGCCGAACGGGTCTTGTATTAGTGAGGTGATGGACACCAAACTGTGTGAATGTAATGTATTGTCGTGTGGGGAACACGGGGGGGGGGGGGTTGAAGGAGACCGGTATTGCAGAAATGGCAGTCAGAGCATCTTTATCAGTGGGTGCTATTGTCCCGGCGGAGCTATTCGGCCATCTGAATAGCACCGCACATCAAAATACCATCATTTACAGTTGGGAAGCAATAGCACCCGAATAGCGCCCCCGGACCTATTTGGTGCCGAGCGGCGCTATTTTGGCCCCGAATAGCACCGGTTGGGGCCGAATAGCACCCCAGAATAGCACCGGTGCTATTCGCGCAAAACATTGCAGTGCTGTTGTGATGCTATTCGGCACATGCATAGCACCCACCATTGTGGATGCACACAAGAGAGCAATAACACCGGTGTTATTCGGCAAATACCGCCTTAGTAAGGTAGCACGGAAGCCAATGAGAACTGCTCCTAGATAGCTCTGCCGGTGCAATAGCATTGTCCGATAAAGATGCTCTCATGTGTCTAAACAACGAGTGGCACCGGTTTCCTTGGTAACTTCTGTTCTTTTGTGCCCACTGCAGTGGTGCCTGTCACATAAAAGAGAACAAACTCGCATTCAGTGCATGCATTTTGTATTGCAACCAAGTTGCACAATAGCAATAAAAGTTGTGCTACTCTCAAATGCTTGAACCAATTCCTGTGCATTGGCAACTAATTTGGTAGATTCCCAGCTATTATATTCATGCCCGTTGTGACGTGGCTGCTTGGGGTTAGGCTAAAATTGACATTTCTGAAGCGGCGGTTGGTCAAAAAAGTGCAACTACGTTAAAATCAGCTTATTCAGGAGCTCCTGATGCCAATAGCGACTTGAAACGTCCAATTCCGTGTAGAAACGGCGAAGTTATGGCCATTTGAAGTTACAGTACTTTAGCATGGGATTCGGACCGGTAGATGGAAGCATCGGGGATTATGTGGAGCTGATTTAGGTGAACGGTGGACGGTGACGATGTGCTTGGACACGCACTTGTCTTGTCTTGTCATGATGTGACCGCGATGGACCCGCGATCGGGCATCGCGCATGCGATATGTGCGTGCGCATGCTGTGAATCTATGTAATCGTTCTTGGCCCACTGCCTGGTCTCTCCGCGACTAGCAAGCCACCGACCGGCTGCGCCACCACCCGCCACATACAGCAGGCCCCGGGGGACGATCCCCATCGTTCTGGGCCCACCGCGCATCCGAGGGAACGAGCGCCCCGCTTCAGCCCACCGAATTTGGTGGAGAGGGCTGGCTGACCTCCAACAGCCAAGCCGCAGGGCGTGGCGACCCCACGAGCTTCGGAAACCAGCGGCGCCCTTCAGGGCTGCAACACCCGTAACCAAGCTATTTGACGAGGTACTCAACAAAGTCCTATCTATGGCTATGTTTTTTAATCCTTTTGAAAAAGATATGTTCGACCTCATACTCCAATCCCCCCTCAATCTCAATAGGGACTGGTGGTAGCTGTACTCTGCCACCAGCCTTATAAGGCTTGAGTTTTGATATACGGAAAACCGGATGTATCCCACTCATGCTTTCCGGGAGTTCTAGTCGATATGTGACAGATCCTATCCGGTCAAGGATGGTGAAGGGCCCAATCCACCTCAGTAGTAGTTTGCAAGTTCTAGAGTACTTGAGGGTAATATTTTGTGTCGAGAGGAGGATTTTATCTCCTTTGCTAAATGACATATCCCTCCGATAGTGGTCAGCATACTTTGATTGTTTGTTCCATGCTTTCTCTAAATACTCCCTTGCCTTTTTCAATGCTGTTTGAACATGATGATCAAATCATGTCACTATTGGTAATCCCTCCACGAGGGATGTACCAGTATGTCTTAAGTGAGGTTGCTGTGCTCTATCAATGGCCACTGCCAAACCGCAAGCATTCGGATTGTCATAGCCTTTTAACAGATTCTTGAGGCTAAGTCATCAGCCTCTACAATCTTTTTTAGTTTTTTTATCTTTTCCCCTTTTTCACATTGCTCGTAAGCTATAAACAACAAGTTGACTTTTCCTTCATGCCTCTTATTCATCCGGCAATGGAGGAATGCAAGGGAGTGGGTTTGCATGGTGTAAAGCATAGGGGGTAGTTGTTTCTTTGTTAATTGCGTTCTTGGAAGGTTAAAGTGCAGTAAACGTTACAATAAAACAATCTCATACTTCGAAGTATAAAAGTAGGCTTCATTAGGAGTTCACAGGTTCTTGAACCACCTCCATTGGGTTAGCAATACAGGAGTTATTCATAGATACATTTCCAGTACTTTAAATCCCCCTTGCCGTACCGTATTTAAGGATGAGATACTATCGTTGGGCGCGTACACTGCATTATCACGTGATCCGGGCAGGGGCCACCCTCTCAAAGGGGTGACCACCTGTCAGATTGTAATTCCGTTCTCTCGCCCACTCTGCATACCCAGCGGTTCTCTCGCCCACTCTGCATACCCAGCGGTTGCTAATGCCGGTGGCACTACTTACATTGGTTGGTAGTACATTAAAATTATTGCAGCCCCGTCGGCAGCCGCTGGTTTCCGGAGGCGTTGGGGTCGCCCTGCCCTGCATCTCGGCTGTTGGAGGTCAACCGGCCCTCTCCACCTTGGACGGTGGGCGTATCCGGGGCAGTTGCTCCTATGGTCGCTAGAGGTGGCCACCCGGATCTGTTAATAGCGGACAGAGGTTAATTTCCGTTAATTTTCCGTTAATTAACGGAAAATAACGAAAAAAGACAAAAATTAACCAAAAATTAACGGATTTTTGGATTTTTGGGGATTTTTGGGTTTTATTCATACTTATAGTTTATGGAATTCGCTATTAGAGAGTATGTTTGTATTTTATTTCAACCTATGCATACTAGATTTTCAACTAGCCGCAGTTGTTGTGATTTTTTGGGGTTTTTTTCAATTTTTTTGGATTTTTTTCGTTTTTCTGAATTTTTCTCCCTTTTTCTTTAACGAAATTTAACGGACAGCTGATAAAAATTAACGAACCGGATTTAACGGACCGGATGGCACCTTTGAGTGGCCACCTCTAATGGTCGCGCGGTGGGCCCAATGCTTGATGGGGATCGATCCCCGGGGTCTGCTGTTAGTGAGAGGTGGCGGCGCAGCGCGGTGGTGGTTCGCTGGCTCGCGGGAGGTCAGAGAGTGGGCCAAAGGATGTTACAACGATTCACTGCATGCGCGCGCACATATCGCATGCGCGATGCCCGATCGCGGGTCCATCGCGGTCACATCAAGACAAGACAACACAAGTGCGCGTCCAGGCACATCGTCACCGTCCACCATTCACCTACGATCGACCCAATGTCCTCTAATTCCAAGCATCTCACACCCGACCCCCTGGCCCTAAGTACTATGACTTCAGGAGGCCATATCTTCGTCAATGCTTAACGGAATCGGGCGTTTAAAAGCTCGTTGGAACCAAGAAGCTCTGAATAACATCCCCAAAAGGTCGATATCCCAGATTACGTAATTCCCACTCCATAAAACGTCAATAACTGCCTAACCCCAAGTAGCCACGTCACAAAAACAGTTGTACATTAATATTCGTACATTATATATTTCATTATACACGATTGTACATTGATTGACAAGTTAAGTGTGCACGGAGCACACTCTGTAACGTCTCTCATTGGGTTTCATACTCTCTCGCACGCAGCCTGCACGTGGTCCTTGCTAGGACCCGCATCAAGTGGTTCAGAGCCTGGGTACCTTGGTATGTACCGGTATGGACCGACAGTTGGTACCCATGGACGCGGAGGACACCGCGGTTACACCGGCGGTGGAGGAATCGGGGCCGTCCGGAGGGGGCCGAGAATGGAACGGCCATGGATAGCAGGGAGGAGTGAATGGCATGATGTTGCACGCCCAAACGCTCGCACTGAAGTAGGGCGACACGATCAATGTTGCCAACATCAACCATGGAGTTGATGCTCAAGGTTTGAGCTAGTGGTGCAAATTTGTGTTGGCGAGTTGGAGGCCAACGCGGAGGCCGACTGAGAGGCGGCCAGAATCGCCCATTGGTGGGAGTTTTGGCTGTGCAGCGAAGCGCAGATGGATGCACGCCACCAAGTGGGAGAGGTGGAGCACCGTTTGCTCACGCAAATTGAGGAGCTACGCATTGGAATGCAAACCACGGGCCAAGCCGTTCAAAAGGCCCAAGTGGCGCGGGATGCCAAAATGGCTAG